ACTGTCACTAGCAAGTTGCCACCTCCTGAGAAGTCGGCACAATTGGTGGCCATCATTGTCGCCTATAGGACTGACTGGCCCTGAAGCTGATGGTAGGTCAAGGTCCTTATTAAAACTCCAGCTAAACAAATACTAGATAACTGGTAGCCTGGGTCTGGTGTTAGTTACTAAAAAGTTAAAAAATTATGTTCATATTGTACCATGACTGATGTTGTTAATAGTACGATGAAACACCAACGATGTCATGAAACGGCTTCACTGTTCTTTGTATGTCACATTTCCCAATCAGCAGTCAGTATGCATTAATAATGTACAAAGTTATTCCCAAAAATGAAAGAAACCGAGGGCCAGCAATGATTCTACGTGTTAAGATGCTGGACTACACACTACACAACTTTATAATAGACACAATTTGAAATTCAAATTTGGGGCGGGGTTTATTTCTTTACAGGATCGTACTGAATGAGGCGGAGGGCATCCTCATTCTCCGTTACTCCTTTGATGAATTCGCCTTCAGCCAACTTATCTAGAGGAGAAAAGAAATCCAACAGTTCCATGTTGTTCCTGGCACCCTTAGAGCAAAGGTAATGCTTATTTAACATTACATATGCATTGACACAAGTTGTACTCACCATTGTCGGCCTTATTAAAGTAGCCCCATAACTTGTTGGCCCGCTTCTCTGGGGTATTCTCATCCTCCGGTAGCTGGGCCTGCTCCTCCTTAGGGATTAGCTTGAAAATGGCCTTGTGGATAAAAGAGAAGAGTATGTAAAACGGAGTGCAGCACTGTCACACTTCCCTGAACTTCTCTGTACTATTTTAGGCTGTTTGCATCGTTTTATCTTGTTTCAAATGTTTTGTTCACCTTGATACGGATTGGGAAAATCACATCTGTTTATGAAACAGACTTTTTTTTTTTTTACTTTGGTTTAACTGGTGGAAAAAACGACTGTATTATGAATGTGAAGACCGTTTTAAATAATTACAAGATCCAAATATAAGATTTTAAACAAGTTAGGATATTTTTTGTTTTAATATTTTATGATAGTACAACTCTTTCCGATACGTTTTCAAAGCAGCTATGGTGTCTTTTTAACGTTTTTGGAATTATTATTTGTAAAAATTGTATTTTGATATCGTTTTTAAATATTAATATTATTAATAATAAATGATAATACTACAATGATCATGATGATAATAATAACAATAATAATAATAATAAGAAGATAGCCTAATACATTTTATTTGTAACGCACTTCACATTTGCAACAAAATAAAAACGCCGTAGTAAAAATAACATAAACATAAACAAGACAGTAATTTTGACTCCTTTTTTAAAAAAACTCTCATTAACCAATTAATCATATATTGCTCACAATTTAAGGGCACCACCTTAAAACCGAAATGCGAAGTCTGTATTATTAAGTTAAAGAGAAAAACGCAATTAATAAACAACATTGAAACAGTGGAAAAAATTCCGTACAATGTTATGGGTACTTTTTTTCGAGTTGGAAAAATACAGGCCTAGTGGTATTTCGAAAAAGAAAATGTAGATTATGTAATCATCATGTATATTATATAAACCCCCCCCCCCCCTTTTTTTTTTTCTCTTGCATTGCGAAATGGGTGCCTCGGCTAAATATTTTAATGTGCGAGATAGCTTGAAGTCAAAATGTTTATGTCCGTAGATCCGTAGATGCAGTGCACGTGGTATACCACTAGATGGAAGAGAATATTCACTCTTTCTGGATTCGGCTGTTAACTATGTTTAGCGTTTAATGTATTTTTCTAATCAAGTGACTTAAATTAGAAAAACAGCAGGCGCGGACTGGCCATGAGGAGTTCGGGAATTTCCCCAGCGGCTTTTATTCACCCCGGTTAAGTGATGCCGATTTTAGATGCTACATACACCGTGTTTATAGACCGGTTAACCCAGGGGTCTCCAACTCCGGTCCTGGAGAGCTACCGTCCAGTAGGTTTTCTATCCTACCTGGCTTCTGATGAGCCACACCTCATGTAGGCCTAAATACCAGGAACAGGTGTGGCTCATCAGAAGCCAAGTAATAAAACCTACTGGATGGTAGCTCTCCAGGAGACCCCTGGGTTAAATATTAAGTAAATGACTTTGGTGTGATTTTTCTTTTTTTCATCTGCTTTTCTCCTTCCTTTTTCTTGGGGAGGACGATGGACTCTGATCGTCTGTAAATGTTTAAAATGACTCTTGGCAGGAAATCCTTGTTGCAGGTGTAGCAGAAACATTTTACATTATGCATGTCATTATAATTCCTGTTCCTTCTCTGACGCAGACAAATGTGGGCAGACCCAGTGTCTGGGGGGCAGGAGAGCGCAGAGCCCCATAATTTTGTCCTGAGCCCAGGAATTGTGTAAGCCGGCCGTGAGCATGATAGCTAACTTTAACTTTAGATTAACTTTGTGCACTATGATTGGATTGACTTTGTGTAGTATTATAAGACTGACACTATGGTTATCTGGATTTGTACCACCTTGATAGCTAGTACTAGATCCCTATCCAGTGTTTTAGTTTCTGCAAAGTAACAGCTTATAGCTAAAGCAAACAAATAAATAATATTGAATAGTACTGAATTGTGCATATAATCAAAATTAAAATGTATCCTTATATTTGAATCAAATAGATAAATAGATTTTGTCTTATTATTTAACTGTAATTTTCTTGGTTTTTGGTTCTGGTACTGACTTAATTCCAGGTAAAGAAGGTGTCAGATGTTTCTGGCTGCCTTGAGTCGCTTTAGTAGAATCTTGCTTGTAACACCTACAACACATCTGGTCCACATCTCTGCTGTAATGGAAACGTAACCATGTGGCCCCCAACTCACCTGGCAGATCTCAGTCACCTCTGACTTGGTGATGTAGCCGTTCTTGTCGACGTCGAAGAGTGAGAAGGCCCACTCTAATTTGAGTGCCATTTTCCCCGAGGAGGTGAGGTGCAGGGCAATGATGTACTCCTTAAAATCCAGCGTGCCGTCATCGTTGGTATCGAAGGAACGGAAAACATGTTTAGCATAGGTCTTAGCATCGCTGTCCGGGAAGAAGCGCTCGTAGATCTTCTCAAACTCTCTGGGGGAGATGCGGCCTGACGGACATTGCTTTTGGAAGTTATCGTACCACTGACATAGCTCTGTCTCCGAGAACTTGGTGTTGAGTTTCAGGTCCTCCAGGATCTCCTTGGACATGGCGCTGCTCTTTGTGTTCCCCATCTTCTTTGGTGGATAGAAACACTATGAGCGTATCGTGTGTAGAACTTTGCCCTCTAGTTATTGGAGTTTATTTAGCACAGTGTTTTGACTGGGATTCAAAACTCAATCTTTATTTTCTTCTGCAAATTCTCTCTTCCAAAAATATGTCACAGTTCAATGGTCTCTGCAAAGCAAATTCCAATAATTAACAATGCTCACTACACACAAAAACAGACGCGGTTCATGTCTGTGTACGTGACCAGGAATCAGGAAACTGCTTGAGGCAATAAAATGGCCAAAATCCAATTACCACATACTAGCTACTGTAGAGAAGTATGAAAGAAGATGTTGTCCAAGAGATACAGCCTTAAAGAGGAAAGGAGATAATCTAAAATTTCAGAGAAGGATATAATAACAATAAAATAGATAAATAAAGGAAGAGCAGAAAACAAAATATTATGGCAGGAAAAATGCCTATAGGAGAGAGGAGAAAGAAACGTCTGACACAAAGTATGACAGAAGAGCCGAACTGAACCTACCAGAGTCAGGAGGTGAAACAAAAGTGAGGGTTTTGGACTGAGGATGGTGGTAGGAGAAGGGAGAATCAGGAGCCTATTTCTGATGGCTGGCTTAAGTTGGTTATCCAGGATTTGTAGTGACTGAGCCTCTTCAAGACCTCAATTAACCTCCAGTTTCTTATTCTGCCTGTGTGCTGCCATCAAAAGTGCTCTCGGTCCATTTGAAAGCTGTGTCACATAACTGGCCCCGTAATGAAAGAGTGACTAATGTTCACACTCAGAGTGACAACAATGAGAGACGCGAGAAACGCAAAGCTAATTAAATGCACTGAATAAGTGCTAAAGTATGAAACTTAGCAGCTAGGAAAATCAAAATGAAGAAACATTACTATGATCAAAAGGAAGTTTTTGGTTTGGTTTTGGTTTTTATTTATGAAAAATACATATTTGGTCTAAAATTAATTTTACTATAAAAATATTAAAAATAGGCAATACTGTGGCTCAATGGGTAACATTGTAACCTTCTAGGTAAAGTATTGCTGCTTAATCCTTCCACATGCCAATGATAATTAAGGGGTCACTAAAGCCCCGAATGAGGTATTGTTGTATTTCCTAGTGTCCTATGGTGTACTGGAATTATTTCTGTATCACACCCTACCCCGTTACCAGTAATAGTGTCAAGACTATTTTGACATTAAATTGGTGAATTTAAGGCATTAGGAACTAGGTATAGACAATCACTAAGAATTAAAAAAAATATTTAGCCTCACCGAGCATAGCTTATTATATAATACAGATAATAACATGTTTGCAACATCTGTTTCATGACTTTGTACAGGAAACACCAGCATCAACAAATAATTAACCTTGAAGAGTGCCATCTGCTTTGGTTAAGCTTAGTTTTAGCATGTTTTCCATGGAAACCTTACTTTATACGGGTCTATTCACACAAAAAGCACATTAATTGTTTACTTCCAGACCCTCCACAGCAGGTATCAAACATTGTTCCCACCCCCTCCCAATTCAGTGGATACAATTATTTAAGGTTAGCAAGAATCTATTCTCTGTCTTGACTTCAGAACTTGAAATGAGCTTATCTGATTTGTCTTTAATCATAGTCTAGCTGCCATCTGCACATTCAATCAAGTAGACAAGCATCTCTGCTTCCTTCTTGTCTGGTATCAGGTATTTTGAACTGCAGTAATAAAAATTGATAATATTTCTCTCACTTCGTCATTTTATTTAATTTGGGTTTAACAAACACATAGATGATGTACCATTGTTATATTTTCATGCAAAAAAAATTGACATTTTTATTTTTTTTTATCAAGGACGACCTGGATTAGCTACATCAACAACAGGTAGCTAATTTCCAGGTTATCTATATGAAGAACCTTTTAACAGAAAATGATGAGCACAGTCATGCCTGAAATAGACATGTCCAGCTTTAATCTCTGCTTACCCCTTACATTCCTCTGCTGCTTCTCACCATCTGTGCTGCTAAGGAAGCCCTGTAATTCATTAGCAGGATTTGGACAAGGAAGAAGAACCTCTCTCAGGATCCCAATCTGTTAATCCACCTGTCGAACTGCCAATATATTTACTGTCATCCCCCAACGTCTCCGTGTTGCTAGACCTTTCCGCGGACGCTCCTTATTTTCCTCCTCCCTCAGCTCCTTTTACACAAACTCTTTCCACTCAATGCATCCATGTACCGGCCCTCTTTCTTTAACTTGCACCCCCACCTGTGTGTTTTCTTTCCCCGTTCTTTCTTATTGTTTCTACAGGACAATTACTTAGTCTATAAATACACTCAGAGATTCACCCTGTATTGGATTATCTGTCCTAAACCAATGACATCACTGCTCCCACCAAAAATAAAATAAAAAATTACAGCCTCTCAACTCCTCTCTTGAGGTTTCAGTCTGGGTGCCATTCACATGTAACTATATTATTAACGTGTCAGCATAATAAAATATGATATGGTGTAATACAAGTCCTTCTAAATGTTTAAATGCCTGAAATGAACTCACATATATTTACTTATCCCAATGTGTGACAGCCAAACTGATCAGCTCTCACATTTCATAAAGCACGGCCTCCCAAGTATATTACAAGCATAACGACACCAAATGACTGGGCAAACATACCTCCAAACATCTCACATATCTTACCTCAGCAGATTACGATGTTAAATCCTGGCCAGGCAGCCTACCATTACGTTAACGTCAGAGGACAGACACGGTAGCTACGGCTGGAAGGGTAATGTCTGTCACTCTTGCCACACGGCTGCCCTTGCTGTCGCCATCCCAGGGCTTCCAGTCGAAAAGTCTTTGTTCCACATACCTTATATTGGGTTTCCTCTAGGTCTGGCTGTGTGTTTGTCGTGCACACACACATGATCATGTGACCCCCCCCCCCCCACATACTGAATATAATTTAAAAATAATTGTCAAAAAAGGCTCGATCAGAAAATTAATAAATAATTTTTCAATTGACGTGTTTGAGAAGAGATAATACACACCGACGTGCATTTAATAGACTGTAATTAAATGAATTATTAAAAATTAATTATTAATTGAAGTCTTTGCAGTGTCTTTAAATTAAATATAAGAGTTCACTGAAAGGTAGCACCCTGGTTGAAACCTGCCCACACAAGGTGCCATATAAAATTTTGATGAAGAAACACTAAGCAGAAATACACATGGAAACATCTGTACAGCGGCACTATGGGAAATGAGTTGGACATCTGCAAGGGATTGTGGGTAAAAGTCCCAGAAAAACACATCTCCCAAGACATAAGCTAACAAAGCAATACTGTTTGGGTTAATTAATACGTTTTTGTACATCTTACGACTAGTAAATGGCACAAAGCAACATACATGCATGTTATGTATATCCAGAGTTGCGTAAAATAAACGACAGACTAAGTACACTTTGTTTACCTATGTTTACCTAACTAATTACCCAACTACTAAATAATTTGCCCTTCTACAAAACAATAGATAAGTAGAAAAACAAACAAGGAATGATTAGAACAAAGCAGGATACATTTATGTGCACGTCGGTTGACAGAGAACCACAGAGAGGCAGATTTAATATTGTGCTTCAAAACAGTTCTTGAACAAATGTACACCAGACTCTGAATTGCTACAGCCAAAGTGAATTGATCTTAAGATCTGTTTTTCAGATTTAACATTAGCGATGGAAGAAACAGTGAAAAAAATATTAAGTGGAAACACCCACAGGCTGTGCCATTTCCTAGTGAAACAATAAACAATACGGCCTCGCCAAAGCACCAATATCAATCGAGGAGAAAGAGGGAGGCAGAGAAGGAAGGGAGCGGAGGGTCTAGGGGCCGTAGATAAATTCTAGTTAATGGGTTGTAATGACACATAATGACAGACATGACTTTCCCACGGAATTGAGTGATAGAAACAAACAAACGATAGTTAGAATAACAAAAACAGAGCTTGTCTGCCTCAGGTTGTGACTCAGCTGATAAAGGCCAGAGCTGGGAGCTCGTAACTTCCATTCTGTTTGCCTTCACACTCAGTAAAGACAGCTTTATAAAAGGAGAATCCGTGTGTTGAGCTATTCTTTTTCTACAGCTTAATTTAATATAATTATTCTCTTTCTCATTGCTGGATTTTATCACTTAAATGCTCCATTCTTGGATTGGATATCAGCATCAACAGAAAAAATAAAGGTATTGTTTCAAAAGCTACATAATTAATCACATTTTTAAAATGTATATATTTTACATACATAATTACTGATAACTGCAACTGCATGTTCATTTGGGAACGTACAAAAATATTTCTGCTTTAATGAAAGATTATCTATATAATACATATTATTTGTTTATTATTATCTGTTGAGCTAAAATAAAACTTATTTTGGAAAATGGACACTGGTGTAATAACACAGGGCCTAAATATCTATCCATTTGGCATGCAGACAAAACGCAAAGCCCACCCATACTGTTTGATTAAATGTCCTTCAGGAGAGCAGGGGGTAAATAAAATCAAAACAGAGATGGTTTTTAAACTGCTGTTACGTTGCTGTCATAATCGTAAACATTACATATATTTTTAAATAACTAATCAGCAAAAGTATCTTTTTCATAATAAAGGTATTGATTAAGCACGGCATAACTATTTAATAGTGCACAACTTACTAAATCGTATTACTCAGTTCTTTTGATCAAAACGTGTGGGTTGATGGTTTTGATTTAATGGGCATACCAGAGAAATTAAGGCATTTAATAACAAAGGAACGGCGCCTCGGTGATTTGGTGTTTACAATGCTTTCTTGTAAACGTAACATTTCTTCTGCACCTGAGAGTAGTACTTATTTTGTTTTGTCTACACAAATGTGTGGTGAGTTTTCTAAATTTATGGAAATGGAGAACTGTGGTTAAATCATACAACTCCAATGTGCCTCAATCTATTGATTACAGATGGTTTTTAAAGTGTATAATGAATTACTTTCTTTGTGAAACAGGACTGGATACACAGACAATAACAGAAAGAGGTCAAGGCACTTATTAAAAAACTCTTTGAGAAGAAACAAACCAATTAGATTAGTGGAGAAGGGTCAACCAGCCTACAGAAAAACAATGTCAAACTGCAGCCTCTCTGAACGACCTCCTTCCACCGTGATATTTGACACCCGGTCGGAGGCGGTGATCTTGCCCGATGGTGTGGTTTCTGTGGCAGGCATCACCGTGGTGACGGGGGGTGCTGAGCTGACTTGTGGATCCTGCCTGTTGGCCTTCGGCGTTTGGGGAACCCTGATCGGCGTCAGCGTGGTCCTGCTCGGCATTTGGGACCAGAAGGCAGAGAAACACGGAGTTTCCACTCTGCTGGCTTTGGGACTGGTGATCCTGTCTCTTAGCTTAGCGATGGTGCTGGGAGTTGCTGGTTACCGCTACAGCAATAAAAAGAAACAAGTCATTGACTGGGGGAATGACGAGGGAAAAGTCGTGATGGTGGATGACAGGAACACCGGTTGTGTGAAGACAGTTACTGTATAAATGTTTAGGCTACATTATAAAATTTTACACTGCTTCACACCTGCCATAGTCTACACGTCTTTAGACTACAGTCGATTAGATGCCATATGCCTTTTAAAAAAAAAAAAAAAAAAGGACCCCGTGTTACATTCAATAATAGTAACCCTATTATTGAATGTAACACGGTCCTGTTTTTTTTTTTTTAGTTGCAAACTGCACTGAACGCAAACAGTTTATTCATACAGTATTCACTGTTCGGGCATTTTCTCCATCTTACTTTGTGTGTACATTCCAAGACGGGTTCAAAAACCTGGACGATGAACCAGATCAAGACACAATCAAGTAAAGAAAATTCTCCAAGAAAGTTTTGACCCGTCAGGGGACCGCGACACGGCAATATCCGAGAAAAAGAGAAAAAAGTAAAAAAAAAAAAAACTTGTGCTTGTTTATTACTAAATAGAGTTAAACTCATGATCAGGCTACTGCTATTATTGAACGTCATGCTTGACAATGTCTCTGATAAACAAACGGTGCTTTACCCAAGTAATATACTTAGTCTTATTTGTTTTTCAAAATGAATATCCCCCTTCCCTTTTCTAATCAGCGGTTTTAATCAAACAAGAATGTAACAGGGAAAAAGACTAAATGTTTCCTGTGATACGGGTTAAGCGATCGTTTTCTCCCTTTTTAATACTTACAGAAGCGATCAAACGGCATTACAGACTCTTCTTACTTTTAACTCACTCTAACTTTAGTGTTCTTTTATCATTCTTTTCAAAATATAATTTTATTTTGGTTACATTTTATAGACAAACTATTATGTACGAGGGAATAAAATAATTTAGTTTGTAAAGATGACAAGTAAGTAATAACTAAAGAATGGAACATGCACGACGTTGTACCTTAAGGCAATCATTTAACTTACTACCTTTAAAACCAGTATCGTAGACATACTTTGATCTTTTATAACCATAGTTTGCTTCCAAGTACCATTCAGTGTCAGTAGACTCAATGGGGGGGCAACGAAATAATTTAAATACAACTGTCTGGAGTTTTTTGCATGGGTGGGGGGTGAATGATATGAGCTTAAAGAACAGTGTCATTGTTTCATATAAATTCATTTTATTCTATGTATTTTTTGGAGATTTTGAGTGTTTGTATGTGTTTTAGTTTGTGTTTATATTAATCATCTCTGTGTGTATGTATATAAAACATTTGTCTTATTTTTCTTATTTGTTGCCATCTTTGCCAGGACTTCCTGGAAGAAGGGATATTGTATCTCAATCGAACCTTCCTGGTAAAATAAAGGACAAATAAAACAAAATAAAAATTAAATACTGTGAGGGGGGGGACGACACACGTCCTGTCTGTTGAGATTACTATAATGTCGAAGTGTCATCGCCAGTTATATAGAATCTTGCCGATGAGTAAATGCGCTGTGTATGTGCGTGTTTGTCGCCCCCTAGTGTTCCATAAAAAACTATACACTTGATTTCTGTAAACTGTAACACAAATACCTACGTTATATGTTGTCACAATATTGTTTATATTTAATTATATATTGAATGTTTGTTTGCATGAATTGTCAATGATTTCTTCTTCTTGATTATAACTTCTTCTGTCTAACATCTGTTCAGTATTTACCAGCTATAAAAGACAGTAAAGTTAAACATACATCTTTTCGACCTTTAGCATTGGTTAATTAATAATAGCTGCTACATCACAAAACAACTCTGCAAACGTTTCTGGTTTATGCTTACAATATAAATATGCAATACGTAAACTATATATACATATATAAATATAAACGACTGTAATAGAAATAAACTGTTTCTAGCCATCCACGCATAATTTCGATACAACATCAAGATCCCCCATGAAATTACCAGGGCCACGTCAATAATTCAGACAGGTATTGGGCTTGGGGTAATTTACGTCACATGACACGCTGAGCCTTTTCGCGTCACGTGTCTGTATTCAAGTTTCAGGAAACTTTTTTTCTCGGTTAATTCAGGAGCGACTTGGTCCCGCCCACCCACGACGCGATTGGCTTGATTGGTCATCTGTAGGATCTTGATTGGTTGTTGACGTCTTTCAATCACAGTCATAATGCGAACGCACGCCCCCCCTTCTTTAAACTCTGTTTGAGAAATTGATATCCTCTCAAAAAGTAAGGACAATAATTATACCTGGAAGAAAAAGTTGAAGTTTTGTATTTTTAACGAAAAATATCCCGCACGTATTGGGACTGTAAGAGGTGAGTTGAGAGGTAATCGAAGAGGAAGCTTCTTGTTTTACGGTTTGGTAGTTCTTTAGTACATGTCGATTAAGGTGTTTTTAGTGCTATTTTTGTTAGCGATCTTGTGTTTGATATTATGTCTTCATATCGTGTGCGGTAGTCCGTCATTACTTAAGGTCAGTGCTTGACCCGTATATTTAAACATACCTCTGCTTGTTTGCGCTGGTGTGTTTTGACGGGGTCTCATTCGCATACTGTTGTATCAGGCTGCATATCTACACATTGTATGCGGTTTTTATGCTAAATTGTTTTATTTTTTTATATGCGATCTTCCTAAGTATAGCTCATAACTCCTGTTACATAACGATGACAGAATTTCCAACAAACGAAACTGTATACCATGTAATTGATGCGGACTCTATTTTATTCTTATATAAGATTAATGAAACTCGTTGCTCAAGTCGCCCAAAATAATCAGACAAGTTAGTGGACATGGGCGCCAGAAAATATGTACCCTGCCGTCATTTGTATCCATGGTTAACTTTTACTACAATAAAATGGCACTCTGAATGGTATGCTGACACTGACGCAAGGAATGGAAGCTACTCCGAGCTGTTGTGGTAACCTGCGAAATATCGTATGCAAATTTATCTGGTTAGGAGGGATGCCAGATTAGGGAGTCTGGCCTTCCCAGGTTAGAGAGGAGCCTGACTGGTTGAAAATGGAAGTATGGCGAGGTGTCCCCGATGCAGAGCAAATATGGTTTTGTGTGCTTCCTTTTTCAGAATGGGCGCCCAATCCCACCACCACGCCCGACACATCATTAGCTAGTTTGTGAGTTTAATTTCAGGGACTTTTTGTAAGTACACTGCAATGGAGAAATTTGTCAAGAGGAGTGCCCTGTCAACTGGGGAACCATGCAAGTCAAGTAAAGAGATGTAGATCCATAGTCTATAGATACTTATGAATGTTTGCGAACTGGGAGGACCAGTTGCACTGTTAGAAAACCTCATATTTCTAGAGGTGGAAGTAATTTAAATAGCTGAGTAGGGGTTAAGGATGGAGTTCAGCGAGAGCATCCTCTGTGCTGCTGGCGACTTGGAGTTGGACCCTGAGATTGTGAGCGAGGAGGCTGGCAAGGTCTACTCTGAGCTACAGGTGAGCTGCTGCATTCAGCAAAACTACCCAAGGCTGCTGTGAGTGTGGCCCCTCTGGCTTCCGGAACAATGCCTGGGTCAGCATTCACATAGCTTGTTTTTGTCACCCCGTGACCTGCCGGTCCCCATCATCCTGTCCCGTCCCGTCACGCGGACCTCTCTCACCCTTGCCTGCAGTCCGTGATCGAAGCCCACGGCCCTGAGGCAGTGGAGCCACTGGTGCCCATTCTGGTGTGGGTCCTGGAGGGGCTGGCAAGCTGCCGGGCCCAGCTGAAGGAGAGTGAGGAGGAGGCTGAGAGGGAGAAGGGGGAGCGGAAGGAGCTGCTGGAGAGGTTTCAGAGTGAGAGAGCCCTGCGCAAGGAGAGCCAGGAGGTACGGGAAGTGAGGCGTGGGCTGCTTCTGCTGACTGTCGGGATGCCATGGGTCCTTTTAGACGTCGACAGGTCGGGCGGGCTCACCACATCGAGGGTTTTGAGGGGGCACCAGAGAGAACGTCACAAGAAATGGGGCGCCTGACTCTTCATGGCGTGAAGTTGTCTTCTGTTTCTTTCAGCGGTACCTGGAGCTGGATGACCAATTCGAGCAGGAGCGAAGGGCGATGCGGGGCAGGGAGAAGGAGCGAGGGCAGAGGGAGCGAGAGCTGGAGAGAAAAGCGCGAGAGCAGGCTGACCAGTGTGAGTTTAGCGCTCTGTCCATTTCTGCTGCTTTTCTTGCCTTTTAATCCTTTTTTTGACACACGCTGTCACTTGTATTACTGGCCTCTGTTATACAGCCCCCCCCCCACACACACACACACACACACTCTATTTTCTTCATATTTTCTTTCTGTCTTATAACTTGAGTCTTTGGACTCTTAAGTAAAAAGGACCGTTTCAAATGCGTAATTACAGCCACAAGGCCCTTTCTGTTAAGAACGCTGTTAAAACTTCAGGTAGGGTAATTCCATGCCACAGAAAGGTGGTGTGAGCGTTTCCTTTTTCCTGATGCTTTTTGTATTGATCTGTTTGGTGATGTTGTAAACCGGATTCTGACTTTTTGGATTTTTGAGTGTACTTACCAGTTTTAGCTTTTTAGGTGATTGTTCTGTGTCCATTTTGTTTAATGCCCGCTGTACAGACAGGGGTCGCCCAAGCTGTGTCAGAGTCCTCATTAATCACTGTACGTCACAAGTACAAGGGATTCATTATGGTGTCAGTGGTCACAGAAACCGAACAGAGCTGTTACAACAGATCTGGCAACAACGAGAGAAATTAAGGTGCCCACATGACGATTAGTGCAAAAGAGCCAGATGGGAATCGGGCTTTAATTGTTTAAAATTATTGTAGTGGTGGCCCTGGAGGAGCAGAAATCCATCCTGGCTCGAGACCTGAGCACTTTGAAACACACACATAATAAGGTGAGCTGCCCATTTCCCCTCTTTTTAAAAAAGGAGCGCTTTAAAAAGCCGCTAACCTTCAGTGGCTTATTCCCTCTGCTAAGCTGCTGCACAGTTACCGGGACCTTCTGGAGAGGAGGAGGGACTCGGAGAGGGGAGACGGCTCTCTGTCTCCCAGAAGGTAACTCGCTTCTTCCTTGTATTCATGCCTTTTTTACTTTTCCCCCCAGGTTATTACTGATAATTTGCTTTTATTTTTCTGTCCTAAATTGTCCTTGTAGTCCCCTTGGCCATTCAAAGCCTTCTGAAGCTTCAGTCTTGCAGGTAACTCGAAAAACCTAACATCTGTAAACTATTACAAATATTCGGAGTGACAATCAATTCCCTGTGTGCCGTCTGCTGTCCTTGGGCTCTTCCAGGTGAAATCGAGAGTAGAAACTCCCCCAGATCGCCGCCTTTTGGAGCCCCTCAATCCCGAGGACAGACGAGTAGGTGAGGATGGAGGGGCGGGTGCTGCGTCCTTCTTAGAAGCCATCATCAACTCCACACCTGAGCTGGCGGAGGTGGATCGCCGAGCTGAAGCCAGGTACCGTTTGCCCGCGAAGCTCATCCCTGATCTGGAAAGCAGCAGAGCAGGTTGGGAGCTTTCCCAGCTCCAAACCACTGTTTTTGGCTTGGAAGGCAGCACGCAGTTTTATGTTTTTAGTTTGAGATACGAACATGCAACGAGAGCACTTAAATGTGCTGGTATTTGGGAGTACAGGGTGAAGAATCATGATATCAAACTGAATTTGTGCAAAAGAAATGTGTAAATAGCATCATGGAGGAAGTTGAGTTGGTTTTATTTTTCTTATGCCTGCACTGTCACCAAGAGCAGAACTGAAATCGCTTTAGCCATGCGTCGGTAGGTCTGCCATGACCTCCTACATAAAATCAGCAAGTTGTATGCATTGAGAGATGAATGTTTAGTTTGTTACACTGTATTCTTGGAGCCTGCGGTTACATCCCATGCATGGTAAGGGTGTTCTTGTGTGAAGGTAACATCTTCGAGGTGCGTTGTGATGCACACAAGTTTTATTCCAGAATGTTGCCCCTCCCCCCAGCAGAGCTGAACCTGGGAATGTGAGCGACCTCGGGACGGAACATGAGGCCGGCGGGCAGGCAAATGGAGATGTGGGGGGCAACAACGGAGAGGAGGAGGAGGAGGAGGAGGAGGAGGACGACGACGACGACGGAGAGAGCCTGGAATGGGAGCTGAGGAACACTGACTCGGTCTTCTCCGAGCTGTCTGAACTGAGTCAAGATTACGTGGAGAGCGTGGACCGGGGGGCCAGTGTCCGAGGTGAGGTGGTGGGAGGTCAAATCAGCATGTATCTGCTCAGCTGGGGCCACCAGACCTGTTTGACATCGCTTCCTTTTTCACACAGGCGGTGTAGACCAGCAAGAGGGCATCCTGTCCCAATATGAGGAACTGAAACGTACCAAGTATGAGCGCTTCTTCAGTGCTGTTACTGTGAGATGCTGGCTTCACAGAGGGCGTGGCCTCCTTCCCGATAGCACAAGCCTCTCTACTCCTTTCCCTTGTTGCCCAGCGAACTGATTGATGGTGCCCGTAGAGCGCTGATCAGCCGCGTGGAGGAGCTGACCAGTGAGAGGGCTTCCCTGAGCTGCGAGCTGGCATCGTACCGTGAAACTGTCATGCGTTTGGAGGGGAAGGTCAAGGAGCTGGAGGAAGAGGTCAAACGGTGAGGCGAATGACTTTTGCTGACGTGCACAATGCTGTGATTAGTGTGTTCAGCTCTTCCTGACTACTCGTTTATGGCATGGTTGCTCACTAGGTGGTGCTGTAACCTTACACCTCTCTTCTTGTGGATAAGATTTCCTGCCCCTTGCTCTGTGTCTGGTTTGTTCTCGCTGTGTTTATGGGTTTCCTCTTGGTGCTCCAGTTTGCTCCTTGTACTTGTGATGAGGGGAATTTGTGACTCAAAAGTGCTCCCTAGTGTCCCTGCATTGGATGGCTTGTTACTAATTTGCTTTAAGGTGGTTAATTTAGCAGGTTGTTTCATATGTTATTCTTAATTTACTATTATTTCTCCTGATAGACTTCGCAAAGAACTGGAACAAAATCCTGGAGAAGATTCAGAGGTGAGACACACACACACACAAATTTAAAAATATTATTTATAAATATAATACAGTAGTCCTCCCCCGTATTCACGGTTTCAGTTTCTTGTGGTCAACTGCGGTCCAAAAATATTACATGGAAAATTCCAGAAATAAACTATTTATACACTCTAAGTTGTTCTGTTCTGAGTAGCGTGATGAACTCTCACGCCATCCCGCCCAGGGCGTGAATCACCCCTTTGTGCAGCGTATCCACGCTGACTACGCTACCCTCCCCTTAGTCACTTGGTAGCCGCCTCAGATATCAGATCGACTGCCGTGGTTTTGCAGAGCTCAGGTTCAAGCATTGTTCTCTTATTTTCTTCTTGTGTCTAATTTATCAGTTAAACTTCATCAGAACTATGCAGTGGTAACCTAATGGTTAGGAAAGTGTGCTTGTAATTGAAAGGTTGCTGGTTTGAATCCCTCACCAGCAAAGTACTGCTGAGGTACCCTGAGCATGGTACTGCTCCCTGGGGCGCTGAATTAGCTGCCCCCTGCTATGTCACAATGTCACATATGGGTTAAATGCAGAGGACACATTTCATTGTTGTGCACTGTATGGTGTGGTGTGTCGACAATGACGACAAATAACTTTGAATTTTCAATGTATGTATAATTTAAAAAGCATAATATACACTGCCTGGCCTAAATAAAGTCGCCATTTGAGTTTTTAATTGGACTGCCTTTAGCTTTGATTATGGCGCACATTTGCCATGGCATTGTTTCCACAAGCTTATGCAACATCTCACCCTTTATTTTCATCCAGATTTGCATTCATTTCTCACTGAGATCCTATATTGACAAGTGAGTTGAACCACTCCAGAAAGCCTCCTTCAGCACATCCCAAAGACCTTCTATGAGGTTAAGGTCACAACTCTGTGGTGACCAACTCGTACGTGAAAATGATTCCTCATGTTCCCTGAACCACTCTTTGACAATTCGAACCCAATGAATCTTGGCATTCTTGTCCTGGAATATGCCCATGCCAACAGGGAAGAAAAAATCCATTCATGATGGATGGAGGTGTAACCTGGCCATTCAGTAGATTCAGGTACTCAGCTGACTTCGCTTTATTGCTGCATAACGTTGCTGGACTGTAATAATGATCCAGTCCTTGGCTCCTAAGTATTTGCTGATATAAATTCAAAAGGCAACTTTTTTTTTGGCTGGGCAGTTTATATGGGTTAGGGTTCGGCACTTTCTGTGTTTCAGGTATCTACTGGGGGTCTTGGAATATACCCCCGTGCATAAGAGGGGGCTGCCGTGTGTGTGTGTGTGTGTGTGTGTGTGTGTGTGTGCGTGTGCGTGTGTGTATTCTTTGTCATCTACACTGTACTCAGCCACTTACCACTTGTCACTTCCTGTTTCTGCGACGCGACCCCCCCGTCTCTCTTGCAGTCCCTGCCCGGCACCGGACGGCGGTTTTCCCGCTCGGAAATGGCACGGGTGGTGATGGAGAAGAACCAGTATAAGGAGCGCCTGTTTGAGCTGCAGGAGTCCATACGAAGGTCACAGGCTCACAGGTACGTGACTGCACTGCCCCGCCCAGTGGGAGCGCTGTAAGCCCCCCCCCCCCCAAACTTGGATTGGTCTGAGTTGGTGTCCTGGTCTGTCCACAATTAGGCCCTCCAAGGAGGACAGGAGTGTTGAGGAGAGGAGGACAGGCGTGTGGAGGAGGTAAGACAGGAGATCCTGCTCCTTCAGCACCATATCAGAATGTCAGGTGTGAGTCCCATGACTCTCGACGACACTCTAAGTGTCTGTCTGTGGTTGGGATTTTCACACATTTCATTTCTGGGTCCTGTAAGGTAACTAACTGCCCTGTACCCCCCCCCCCCCCCCCCCCCCAACTGTCAGGTTTAACCGCTTGTTTGGCCTGACCAAGGACCCCTTCCCACCCCCCCCTGGCTTGCTGGGTGGCCCCCCCTCGATTATGGCGGAGCAGAGCCACCGGCAGCAGTTGGCCGTGAGCCAGACTCAGACTGAGTAAGCGAACGTTTGTGGGTGTGCAGCTGCACCTTGGTGTGAGGGCTGGGGGCAAAGCAAATTAAGCTTGGGTTAGGGTGAATTTCAATTTTAGCTTACATTTACATTTACTTTCTTCTTTTAGCAGATGCTTTTGTTCAATGTGATATACAGGAGACATAAATAGTCAATTTCAAACACAGTGCTGTGCAAAAATCTTAGGCTGCCAAAGAAAATGTTTAAATGACCTTCATGCTGGGGTAAGGCTGTCTCAGCCTCTTCAGAACCCCTGAGAAAGTCACCCCAGTATTTGTAGCAACAATCCTCGTGTATTTGCTCATGTATTTTGATGCGATCACTAACACACTTTGTATGGCTAATCAGTATCTCATTAACTTTTTTTTTTCCATTTAATTACATTAAGTGAGCTACTGGTGAAATAATAAAAAAATAGAAACACCAGTCATGATAAATAGATTTTATTTTTATATATCTATAGATATCTATCTATCTATCATGACTGGTGCCCCTCAGGAGAGGTTTGGGAAATGGAGTGAAGTTATTGTAGTCATGCTTGAGGAGTAATTTGGAGAACAGAAGAAATTTCTGCTAATTTTTGTGTCATGCAAATTAATGTGCTAATGTAAATTTGTTTTCTGAGCCGACATGCTTATTATGCAGATAAATAGCTTTAGACATTTCCTGTGACTGCCTAAGGCTTTGGCGCAGTACTGCATGCGGAGGAGGCGACTAGGTGTAAGTGTGGTTAGGCTTCCAGCGAGTAAGCAGCAGTCCTCACGCTGTGTCCACTGCCCCCATCTCTCAGCGGTGCCCCGCCCTCCACCCTGTCCCCGCGGGTCAGGAGAAAGGAGCTGTACCGAGACATCCGGTCGCACGTGTGGAGCACTCTGGGTAAACGACAGATTCACGGCTGGAGCATGCCTATCCCGCAGACGAGCTCGCAGGTAATCCCAGACGTCATCCTCCAACACTTCCATCCTAAAAACACAGTAAAGCCTTTTTGAGGTGGATGAACGAAATTAGAAGTTTGAACTCTCTGGAGGATTCAGACGAACAAGGAACAGAACTGTCTGAAAATGATGTCATGGAGTTCTCTCGAAGCGCACGTTCCCCTTTCACTGTTCTCATTTCCTTTTGGGTTTGTGTGCCACTGAAATGGCATGCATTTGCAGGTGGATCTTGATTCAGGCTTTCTTTCTTTCTGGAAGGTTGCATTGCAGTGTCGCGTTTCTATATGTGGTAATTATTTCACTGACTTCACGATTGTGACTTGCAGGTTGGCAATGGTGCTCCACCCGAGCCCAAGGATGTGCCCGTTCTAGTGCAGCTGCGACTGCTAGACCAGAGGGACGCCAGTGCCAAGGTGCCCGTGAGTTAGGGGTGAATACCTGTTACAGCTGATCGCCATGTGGCACTGGAAACAGGTCTGACCTTTACATTCTGTTCCCACAGCTGGCGTGTGCGACGGCCGTCACGCCCGAGATATCGGGTGACCTCATGGTAATGATCCCACTTTGTCGTGATATTACCATGGACTAAGATCTGAGTCTTGTACGCCTTTGGCACCATAACATCTGATGTCCACAATCAAGCCTCACCATCCATTCATTTTCATCCTGGTAGTGTTCGGTGTGGGTCATCTCTGGCCCCGCCTCCAGCAGTGATGTCACAGTGATCGACCCCACACGCTCCAACACTGTCCTGGATCAGTTCAGCCTCCCGCCCACCTCCCCTGCACTCTGTCTCTGTGCTGTGCCCCCTGCTGGTCAGTTCGCATGCTGCAGGCCGTGCAGATAATGGGAACTGTGGGAACTGCCTTGTGCCATTAGTTTGCATGCATGAGCCCAGTACCAGCCCTAGCGAATGAGGGCAAGCCTCAGAGCTGATGCCCCCTGTCTGAGACGGTGAAATTCACTGGCAAGATGGCACCCCCCCAGAAGCTGGTACCCTAGGTGGCTATCTAAGCTGCTTGTTGGCTCTGCATGAACATATGAAATGTCTAGATCGATGGCACACTGTTAAAACACTTGGCTTAAGCTACAATAGGCTTTTTTTATAGGCCTCAGTGTGGTCCTGTTGTTCAAGAGCAGTTTTTAAAACATCACAATGTCCTTTGGTTTTGGCTACCACTAGAGAACGTGTCCTGCTTTGGTAATCGAGAGTTGCTTTTAATCAACCATAATATTGTTTAGGTAACTTATAATTGTGTTGCATAATAACCAACCACGGACACCATTCATAACGCTATAGGTTATTAATCCGGTATGAATGTTTTCCACTGTGTAGAAGGGGACTCCTCAGGAACGGTGTGGATCGGCACTCAGGATGGAAGGTGTGATGCTGATCTTAATATAAGTTTGATATAGCATACGTTGGAACAGTCTGTTGCAGCACGGCTGCTGTATTACATACCTTTGTCTTGTGTGTTTGTTTGATAGCATTTTAGTTCACTCAGCATCCACAGCTAGGAGGCGCTGTCTGCAGTCGATCTCTCTTTCTGAAGGAGTGCACTCTCTAACGTGAGTGACCATTCTTGTTTTTCCCATTTAATTATTGTGTGTATAATGTTTGTAAAGCCTTCCTGTCGCTTTATACCTTTTTGCAGGTATTTTCAGGGTCATGTGATTGCTGGATTAGCCAATGGGTCGCTTTGTTTCTTCAGTCGCAGTTCTGGTATGTATTAATCTGTCATTCACTATCATGGTGATGTGCTCAAATGGACATGCATGGCTTTCGTTTTACCCACCCCGAATGATCCAGTTAATCATGCCGGGATTCCGCCATGTTGCTCCATGACTTTATTCGGAGGGGATTAGAATAGCTCTCACCTCTTCTGGTGTGAATAGTCGGCCTCCTGTATCCTTGACATCCTACAGACGGGGCATTGTTGTGTAACACGACGCGTTCGGAGATTGCAGTTCAGCCCTGTGGGATCTGGTTAAGCGAATGCAGATCCACCAAACCATCTATTAGCTATAGAGTGAACTTGGCTTTCACTGCATGTTTTACTCAGGCTTTTGCCGAAGATCGACAGTCTGAATCCTAATGAGATGTATGAATTACAGATGACTGGGATCTGCAGTCTCGGGAACTGTTGGTCTTGGGATCATCTCCAGTGCAGCCCCTCCGTTGTGTCCTGGGTCGAGGGGATCGGTTGTGGGTCGGATACTGGAACCAGATCCACGTTGTTGCTATAGAGGGGCGTAAAGTGGAGGTAAGGGCTGTGGTACGCTGGCAGAAGCCCCGACTGCATTCACGGCAATGTCACCTGCACTTCCGGCCACTGGCACTTCCCTCACTGCTCACCGCCCTTCACCTTCCAGCACACGTTCAGCGTTTCGGAGCACCATGAGCAGCAGGTGCGGTTCCTGGGCTCGGTGGCGTGCGGGGTGTGGGCCGCATGTCGGCTGGACACCACCCTCCGGCTGTTCGACTGGGCAAGCTGTCGGCCCCTGCAAGAAGTGGACTTGGCCCATTTAGTAACGAAAACACTAGGTTAAAGCTCTTACTGTGTCCTTGCTGCATTATGCTGCTGTCGTCAGTCTTTCAGGTCTAATGTGATTCTTGCTGTCTTCCCTTCCAGGCCCAGCCTTCCTTTCACTGTCTCCTTTACAGATCTCATCTCTAGCTGTCATCTGTGGCCGGTTATGGGTGGGAACTGGCAGTGGCGCCATTTTCTCCATCCCAATGCTGCTCAGTGAGTATTCCAGACTGGAATGTCTCTATTTTTAAACGTGATAGGACTTGCCCAGTTCATCTTGTTCTGTGTCACACTTCACCTCTCAGGTTCTGAGGCCTCTATCCCATATTGCACTCTGGCTGGAGCTCAGCTGTGTTACCATGGACACCGTCAGGCTGTTAAATTCATCATCTCTACCCCAGGTCTGTCAATCTCTCCACGTGTGTTCATTTTATAGCTGATTTACCTTAATTCAACTCTTGCCTTGATGTCATTCCTTCAGTTTATTCGTAGATTTTTCTGGGGTCCCAGTGTTCTGTTATGTAATGAAATCCAACGTTTTAATGGTGCTTCTGATTTATTCACCAGTTTGATTATTTCTGCATAATCCAGCTGATCCTATAGTAGGGTGAATGGTTAAAGGTACTGGGTTTATCACTTTGCTCCAAGTCTAAATCAGTGTCATGGAAGATGGAACATTGTGGAAGAACTCAATCTACCATGGTGGCCTGGAGGTGACAAATTAATAATTAATTAGGCTTTGAAAGTTACCATGAACTTTTACTGCTACTTTTCATCACTCATGGCAGCATAGTGATTAATTTGTTTTTACTGAATTCTGTATTCTTTTAAACCATTTAATTGGTATGTGGCAGGATAGTAATTTTTTCCCCCCTAAGTGTGCTGGTTCCACTGTGGTGTTTTTAATAATCTTACGGGAGAAGGAGTGGTAATCTGCCTCTCATGCTTTCCACATCTCCTCCCTGTTTTGTCTTTGACCACAAATCGTTGAGGCTTATGGTCTGTGTTTCTCCCTCAGGCTGCTTAAACCTGCCCTCCACTGGCGGATCCTCCGTTTCCACCTCCCGGCTTATTCTGAGTGGAGGAGAGGGGTACATCAATTTCCGCATAGGTAAGCCGGCATTTGTCAACATGGACAGTAGATACAGGATTTTACATGCGATTCTTGGTTTCATCAGATAATTTAAGATGGGGAAACTACCTTCATGTAATAACTTTATTTGTTTTCTTATTGTTTGGTCTGTGTGAGGCTCTGTTTATTTAATCTTTTCTCCTTCAGGGGACGATGGGAGCGATAGCTTGCCTGAAGCTGTCCCTCAACGTTCTGAGCGCAGTCACATGATCATCTGGCAGAGCTCATCCCCCTCGCTTCCAAGTCCCGCCCTCTAATGGTTGCTGTTGTTAATCCCTCACAGCAGCTCTCCTGTAGGTGTGCCTACCTGAAGTCTGAGCACTGGTGTGCAATACTTCATGAATTTCCATTTTGGATTATTGTCATGCAGAGTAATACATGATCTACAAGTGACATTTGTCTCTGGCTCTTATACAGTTTTTACCTCGTCACATGGTAGAAGTTTTTCTTTTTGGGCAGGAGCACAGATCACATGTCATCATTACCTGCTTTTACATCAACAATGTAACTATAGGAAAATCAATGGTTTTACTGAGAATCAGCAGTAGGCTTGGGTGGTGTATATTTTTTTTCATACCATCACATATTCTAGACATTGTACCCCAGTATACGGTATATGATGATAAAAAAAAAAAAAACAAAAATCATGTAGACTACTGTAAACTCCGGAATCAGCGAGAGCCTAAATGGGCTCATCTGAATTAATCAGAATTTGGGCAAGATTGCTGCAAATTATATTAAATATTAGTCCTGCGAGCAAATGGTCAGCACAAACAAATTCTTTCGTTCCTACTTCCAAATAATTGCTGTTGGCTACATTCCCTGCTAAGTTCAGTTTAGATTTCTATTTTTTATCAGTAAAAAAAGTTGCAACTTCTGTGTTTTCAGGTAACGTTACACAGTGCACAGTGTTCACAAATATTCTCCATACAATGAAAATCAAACCAACGGAATGGCCACCGCTACTTTTTTTTTTTTTTTTAATACTAATCCTGTGTTATTGTTACCCTTCGCAGTCGCCATCTTTCTCACCAGTAGTCTGACCTCTGGTGGCGCGTGCTGTGCACTACAATACATCGCCTCGATACCGCAGCTCCGTATCAGATTTGAAAGAGGAGCGCCTGTATTAAAAAAATAATACCTTTGCGATTTAAATGCTGGGGTATGCCGTAATACCGCCCAAGTCTATTCCGCACGCCGTTTTTTTTTCCAACTGTGAACCATTTGTGACTACTTGTACATGCTGAACAAAGCTGCTCTGCACTTTTTCGTTTTGGTGTGTCCTGGCACTCTGGTGGTTTGCATTATTAACATCATTGCTTTATAGGCAGTGCCTCTCTTCTTGAATGTTCCGTCTTGTTTACTGATGTATTTTATTACTTTTATTTTAAGTTAATTATTTAAGTTCTCGGTAGCAGGTGTGGGAACAAAGATGTTTTATGTAACTGAGTAATGGTTTGACTTCAATGTTACGGCTGCAGTGAGCTGTTGTCTAATTGTAACATCCAATCAGTCATGAAACTGAAAACAGTTATTGTAAATACAGTATTCTTTCAGAATTTGTACAGTTTTTTTTTTTTTTTATTTGGTAATAGTCTGGATATTACTGGAACTAGGCCTCAGTAATGAAATTGTGACTTATTAATATGAAAACATTCCATTTTGAAAACAAACTATACATTAAAAGAATATAAAAGGACGTGCACAAGAAAGTTATATATATATATATATTTATATATAAAACTGGAAATGTATTTTTCTTAAATATTACAAGCAAATACTGTTAGTGACATCTACATCCCATATACTTAAACAAATAACATTCATAACCAATGAGGACAGTTGGCTTGTAGGCTTGTTAGTTGATTGTGGCCGCTGTGAAACTCAGACTTTTTGTAACAAATCTGAAAAAGATGAGGGGAAAAAAGAGCACAACGCAACCGTGTGAGTTGTACAGCAGGAGAACCACAGGGTGCTATATTCTCATTTGAGAGATTTCACAGTAATTAATATTTTCAATTATACAAACACCATTAAAATGTACTTTTCAAAAACATTACAAACCAAAATAAGAAATACAAATTTCTCAATGTTTCACATAGTCTGTTAAAATCTTACTGCAAAGAATTATTATGAAATCGGAGGCAAACGGTTTCGTAGCAAACGGAATGAAAAGGCTATGTAATTATTTTGATTGCTTAAAAATTGTTTTCCATTGTTGCTTAGATCAGGGATTCGCTATTTTTTTCAGGCACCGGTTTGGATTTGTATGGGAAAAGTAGCTGGGCACCCTTGGCTTAGACTGACCTTCTCCCTCCAAAATCCAAGAGTCCTAGGGGCCACTGTGAATCCGTCTTGTCATCTTCCGACTGAGAGTCCGTGCCAGCTGGTCCACTGCGGTTCCGATGTATCCCAGTTCCTTACGCGATGTCAAGCCATCAATGTTGCCGCTGTACCACATGACCCAACCCCCCAGGGACATCAGAACCAGCAGTGCCCCCGAGTATACTAGGAAGTCTCCAAAATCTCTGCCCTTAATTTCCAGAGGAGCAAACACTCCCACCAGCAGAGCTGTGACACCTAGCAAGTCCATCAGCACAGCAAACACAAGTGCTAATTTGCAGTGTGACAGGCCTTCATAGCGGGGCAACATGGTCACCTAAAGGATGCAGTGGGTTTGTCAGTGACGATATTTATAGTCAATATACTATGATAAATAGCTCATCTGGTACTTGCAGCACTATGACTAATTGAGATCTGTAATTTATGAATACCAGCAAGTACGATAAGCACAACACATCATATTAAACAATCATAATTTAATTTACTCAATCATTTAATGTACACATTAAAACGTGGGTGTTAATACCAAGCCGGATATGAAATATCTCTGGCAGTCTTTTGCAATAAACGCGCTACTCTTGCGTGTTTACTCATGTGTACATGAAATAACACCTTTTTCAATTTTTTTTAAGTGCAATTCCCCCCTGACGGTCAATGTAACCTTCCATCTATGAATACTGCTACAGTAATTTACTTGTTTGAACTTCTGATACAATGATCCCTGAATTTTGTTTCTACAAAGGACTCCACCCTTGAATAGTCATTTTTCGTTTACCAAAATACACCCGTCGCTGATTTTTACATACTATACACAATCTATAGAGTCCTTGTGTATACTGTGAATTTTATGCACCATTTAATCTCACCTCTCAAAGAGTGATTTCCCGCACACTATTCTGCAACACTTTATATTGTTGTTAGGGTTTTTACTGGAAAAAGTACAGACTTCCCAAGATCCGCTGGCTTGCTTCCGGGTCCACCTTCGTCTCTTCCAGAGGAGGCGAGTTACCTGACACCGATCATTCACCTGTCTTGGTATTGATTGGCTCAGCCTTGTTTAATCGTTATGCAATAATCACCAGAGGTTTAATTCCGATGTAAATCATTATTTACATTACCGAGGTAAATAACAATATATACTAGAAAAGTAAATGAAGTATGCCGCCAAATCAACGTTATATAGTTACTATATTGGCATAGCTTTCAGAAATAGGGCTGTCCTCCTGGAGCAATTTGGGGTCTTTATGTTGTTTAGAAAGCGACAATTATGCAGCCTTTTGTACATTATTTTAGAATTTTTCAGAAACGTAAACGTCAATTACAGGGTATCGGGATGGTTTGTGTAATTTATTGACGATCCCTTACAGTGCTCTGTTCGTTTTTAACAATTCTTGACCATTATGAACGCTCTCTTATCGCGACATGCGTGACCGGAAGTAAATCTCCGCCACGGGAAAACCCAGCATCGTGATAAAAGCGTATTATCTGTTAGCTACAATGTGAGGGTAAAAAATACAAACGGGTATCTGGCGAAAAACAGGAATAGTACTAGCTAATGCGTGAGAAAGAAAAAAAAATAATGCAAGAAGAAATGGTTTGTTTATGTTAATTTATTGTCACAGTGTTAGAAAAAACACAGGTATAGATGTAACGAAGAGATGAAGGACTAGCTAGTTGGATAGTTATCTGGAGAATTGGGTAGGAGATCTAAGTTAGGTGACCCGGGTAATGCTTGGATTTATGTTTTAGGGGTCTGCCTTCTCCACTTCTATGACATAGATATGAAACAAATGTCGCTGTTTGTGGCAGAACATAGCAAGGTGGTATTGACGACTCTGACGAGCCACCTGAGAACTGATGTAAAAAGAATTAGACCTGCACCTTCACTAATTAATTGCACCCCCCCAGTTATTATAATTATTGTAGCAAACAAAAATAGAAAATTAGGGAGACTGCACATTCCTTTGAAATGCAATTTAGATATTATTATTGTTATTATAAATGTAAAGAGAAAGACATATTGGGTCTCTGTATCCTGCATAACCCCTTTGGCTTATATGTCAAATTTTGGGAAAACAGGGAGCTCGCGAGAGGCAGGAAACCGGAAGCGTGAAGGGGGAGGAAACGGGGTCGCCCCACATACACGGTAAGTTATGCTTTATGTCGTCTTGATAAATTGTCATGAATCCCTATACAGGCGTGTAGCTGGTTACCCGTATGTCAGTGTAGAGTGACCATCCTGTACATGTCATTCTGACAATTTGGCATATGGTGTTTTACCACATTTACGTTTGTCGCGATGCATCAGTGCACCATTAGTCACTTTTTTTTCTTTTCCATTTCTCTCCGTCTCTTCAGCTTTAAAGAATGAGGACGGTTATGAAATCTCCATTCCCTTCGAGGTCAACACCTTTGAACAGTCTGGCTTTTTTAGGCAGAATGAACAAAGCTTTGAAGGTAAGATTGTTTCAGGAATTTGGTAAACAACTTTAAAATCTAAACATTATTTGTTATAACCTTAATTTAACGGTCAAGAATAAACATAACCTTACACTAAAAAGTAAATCAGGTGCAAATGAGACTTTTCATCTGTTTATCACAAATTGCATTTCAGATGCTTAGATGGTGATGATGATGAAATGCTAGATTAATAACATGCAAGTTAACACTGTGGAAATGTGTATGATTCATTAAACAAAAAATGCCAAATGGTCGAAAATAGGGCTAGCTTTGCTTGTGCCAACATTGGTTAGCCTACACAAAGAAGGGATTTTTAATTCAGACAGAGCAAATGAGTGTAAAATGTCCACAAACAGTGATAATCTATGAACAAATTTGTTTCTAGGAATTATGAAAGGCTTAACTATTAATGGAAAAATAATACAAATGGCAGAAAGTCACAGTGGTATTTTAAAATGTCACATTATTTTACTATAAACTTCTGTTCCAGGGCTGATTAAAAGCTCTGTCAACTTTCTACTCGTGTTCCCAAAAAAAAAAGTGTTTTATTACGTAATTATTTCTCGTTTACTGAGTGGTATTATTTTCATGTCACACACAACTAAAATGCTGGAGTTTATGTATAAGTTCCTTCCCTGCATGTTTCTGCCCCCTTTCTGTCAGAGTCATCGTCATCGGGTCTCCCCCCATCAGGATCCTCCTACCTCCTGATCACCAACTTGCGCACTCAGCTGCAGATCTCCCTGGAGAAGAACTCATGGCTGCAGAAACGCATCGAGGACCTGGAAGAGGAGCGCGACTTCCTCCGCTGCCAACTGGACCGCTTCATCTTCTCTACGAAGAGCCAGGAGAGAAACGGTACTGTGGGAGGCCTATGACACAAGAAGATATGAGATTTATGAAAACTCATACCGATTCCTTTACTTTTCCCAGTTTAGTATTGATCATATCAGTTTAAGTGAAAACACATTCATGCAATTCAGGGTCATGGGAGTCAGGAGCCTATCTTGGCAGCTATGGGCGCCAGGCAGGGAATCACCCAGGATGGGGTGCCAACCCATCATAGCCTTCATAAGAGCACACTCACGCATTGTTCACTCACACATGCACACCTATGGGCAATTTGGTACCTTCAGTTCACCTTAGCATGTTTCCCCAAAGGAAACACATGTGGATGTAATTTTAAATAGTTTAAACTATGGTAAAGAGCTTTGCTGTGATTGAAACCAGAATACCCACTAACTGGGAGGTCCCTGACATTTCACACCTTACAGTATAGGTTATTATTCTTGTACACTATTCTGCAACATGGTTTTGTACACTGCCAGGCCAAAAAAAAAGTCACTGCTTGAATTTAAATCATTAGGTACTTAAAAGCCAATGATACGATCTTTATGAAAGCTTAGCATCATTATGCAGCAATAAGGTGAAGTCAGCTGAATACCTGAATCTATTGAATGGCCAGGTTATCCCATCAATGCATATTATTTATTTATTTATTTATTTATTTATTTATTTATTTATTACCTACCTAAAGTCATGGACCTCTTTCGGGACAATATTGCCAAGATTTATAGGGCTTGAACTGTTAGAGTAGTTTAGGCAGCGCAAGGAATCATTTTCACATGTGAATTGGGTAGCACAGAGTTTTGACTTTAACCCCATTGAAAGTCTTTGAGATGTGCTGAAGAAGACTTTACTGAGTGGACCAACTCACGTGTCATCAATACAAGATCTTGACGAGAAATTAATGCAAATCTGGATGGAAAAAATGTCGAGATGCTGCATAAGCACATGGAAACAATGCATTAACGAATGTGCACCACAGTGAAAGTTAAAGGCGGCCCAACAAAATATTCTGTTTAAAAGACAGATGCATGAAATTTTTCGACATAAAGGGTCTTTTTTTTATTTCTTCTAAGGCTATGAATCGAGAATGTTCTCATGGGGAAGGAGGAGAGCAAATGAAAGGGGTAAGCCTTCATTTTCAGATTGTCACTGTTAATATGTAATCAGTTTCCTTTTTAAGAATGAACGTTATTGTGTCTATCTCATAGAGCACCACTTTACACCCCGTCGACTATATTCCCGAAAGCCAGCATCTTCAGACCCGTCCGGCAGTGCTCAGGTTAATTGCGGCCAGACCGGCAATCAAATGGGACGCATGTTTTCTCCGGCACCCCCAGACATGCTGATTCAAGGACAAGCCAGGAGCAACAATGAAAAGATGGACAGGACACCTGGTGAGGTGGTGGGATGCTAGTCTGTTTTGGAGCATCATGGTGTTTGTGTTATGGGGAGTGTATCCCGTTCATTTTTGTGCCTTTATGTTCCCTGACAGTAGTTGGAGAGGAAGAGCTCTTTGACCAAGGTGGTTACTTTGAGGAAGAGAGCTCGATGGCTGGGAGTGATGCAATGACGGGGGCTGTGACTTTGAACAGCCTGGGATCGGGATCCAGCAGTGGACCTCCGGGCGTGATGAGGCGGCGAAACTGCAGGATTGCCCGAGCGAAGGAGAGGCAGAGAGGTGAGAGTTTGGCTGTGTGATGTCAGTGGCTTGGACTGCGCTCTTAATTCTCATTCTCATTCTTTGCCACTCCTCCACTGGCACTTTTTCATCTATCAGAGTTTATGGGTTGGAAACTGCGGTCCTCTTAAGTTGCACGAGTGACAGGCTGACTGGGTGTCAAACCCACTTTAGTGTAATCTGCAGGATGTACCCGGGTAGGGCATTTGCTAAACTAAATCCTTGAGTTTTTAAGTCTGAGAACTAAAGAATCTGATGCAGTAACTCCAGAGTGTGAATTTGCCAGAGTAGCATATTCCTCAGTGTTAGCTGGAATGCTTGTTTGTCAGAGACCTCGATGAATCCTGGTGTTTTCTACTTGCCTCCCACCATGTTGCAGTTAAAGATGCGGCCGGGGTGCTTTTCCGGTACAAAAAGATCCTAATGACGTACCAGCGGTTAAAGAACATGTCTAAGGCGTTCCAAATCCATGGAGTGGACCGCAACACGGTTGCCTCGACAACACCCATCGCAGAGCTGCTGTTGGTGGCCCCCGAGAAGGTGGCGGAGGTTGGCGAGTTTGACCCCTCTAAGGAAAAGCTTTTGGACTATGCTCGACGCTGCTACGTCTCCCTAGATGAGAAGACGCGGATGAAAGTCCAGGAGTTAAAGAAGAACCATCTGCTGCTGCCCATCTCCTACAGGTTCAGACACTAATTGGAGAGAGAGGCAGGGAGGGAGGGCTTTACCCATCTCTTCAGTGGGATTTGGGATCATGGAAGGAAGACCTTCTGGTAGATGTGGCTCCAGAAATGAGCTGTGCTGGCTTTTGTTATGTGGCCATGCTGGGTAGTTAGGGCTCAGTGTTTCGGTGGGTTGTTGATTGTTTAGTTTTCTAACACCATCTTGGTCTCTGAAAAAGGTTTGAGAATCTAATGCTACAAAAGTGTGGGCGAGCAGAGCTGGTAAAAGGTCACTACCGCCCGTCTGACTCGCGCTCGGAGCTCTTTGGAAAAGGCATTAATAGGTACAATGAATTGAAATGTATGGTATTGTAATGTGACCTTTGTGGTATCTCAGAGTTGGTGTGATTATGACTAACCAGAGAAATGTATGCAATTCACCAGTATCCATAGACAGACCTACCATTAAAAACAAGCGCTGTTGTAACCATTGATTCGGTTTTATACACATATGTGCACATGCAAACACACTGCATGGCCACTTCCTTTCTCTGATCCTCATTCCGTTTTCTCAGTTAATGCTATTTGCACAATATGTCTGCTTGCTGTAATCAAAAGTGTTACACCTTTTTACTGTAGGCTATATTTATGTCCTGTACTTCAATGATCTGATTAAAAAAATTGTAGTATGTATAATGAAATACACCTTTATTTGTGCATTGCAGGCTGACATATCATTGCAGTAGTATATTATTTAATGTATTGATCATTTTGCTGTGCTATACTTTGGTAAATTGAACAGTTCTGCGGTTGTGCTTCTGATTTGTATTTGAGCTAGTTTTGTACTACTGTCATTGCATGCTTTATGATATAAAATGCAATAATTTGGAAAATGTGCTCTGGTAATGGTTGCAATCGTCTGTGAATTTGGAAAGATTTTTTTTTTAATGGGAAAAGAAAATGTGGTTCTCTGCTCCCATTTATATCAGATATGCATTTTCTTCTGAATTGAAATACAGCAATTTTGACATTTTAAAGAGGATTCTAATTTAACAAAGTTCAAATGTTGACAGCTGTCAATTTCAGAGTCTTATTTAGCAAAATATTCTGGTGTAATCAAGTGTTATTAGCTTTAGTATATCTAAGTAGTGTGTGTATTATGTACAGTTAAATACAGAAATTGACACCCCCCCCCCCAACTGACTGTAATAGCTTGAGCACTATGTGAAAATGAAAGCGTGACATCTAACCCCTGTGAATTTTCACGTCTGTCACCACTTCTTGTTTTTGTGTTGCCAAACCCTCTGAAACTCAAGCTGTGTGCAGTAGTGCTCAATACGGGTCAGAGAGAGTCTTCAGTTCTGCCTCAGGAATCTATCGTTATGTGATGTACAACCTATGTGACGATTGATGGTCCGCGTCTGTTTAAATCATAATGCTTTATTTGAGTATATAAATCAGAGTATATTAATATATTCTACAAAGCAAGAGGTATTTGTCCTACTAAAAAATGCATCTTGTTCATTATACTATAATTTAGAAATGCTAATAAAGCATTTTGTTTCTTATAAAAATTGTAGGTTGGTTTGTTTTGTTCATGATGGAGATTGGTGTGAGTTTTGCAATGAGCTCTTTTACATCTAAAGTTAAAAGATGCCTCTGATCTCTAACACTTCCGTGTCCTGCAGATGCCTGGCTCTCTTGCCCATTTTTGAGGCATTTGCTTTGGAATCCAGCTCCCTTCACTCAGGGTCTGAGACTGGGCCCTTCTCTCCCACGAGTGCCCTAAACTGGCCCTTAGCTTCTTTGGCAACCTTTCTGTATTTCTGAATTGTCTGACAACAGCCAAGTCTCTGTCAATGCTCTGCTCTGTTCATTTCCTCTGTTGGGTATGTGTGCAATGCTGGATTCTCAGGAGGCTGTGTAGGGAGCAGATGTGAGGTTCAAAAACCCAATAGAAAGTTTTCTGTGGTGGGCATCAGGTGCAGAGCAGTTAGGGTCACCAGGGTCACTGGAGAAAACTGGACCTAGAGAGGGACCATGCTAAAGAACAGCAGAGGGAGAACAATACAGAGAGGGACTGTACTAAAGTACACCGCAGAGGGAGAACAGGACAGAGAGGGACTGTACTAAAGCACTGAGCAGAGGGAGAACAGGACAGAGAGACTGTACTAAAGTACACAGCAGAGGGAGAACAGGACAGAGAGGGACTGTACTAAAGCACAGAGCAGAGGGAGAACAGGACAGAGAGGGACTGTACTAAAGCACTGAGCAGAGGGAGAACAGGACAGAGATGGACTGTACAAAAGCACTGAGC